TTTTGAATGTAATTTTCTACAGTTATGCAGTAATGCAGTAATTACATATCACAAAACGTTTCTTTGGATATTTATCTATAATGAGTCACAAGCTACTGAAGGAGACAACCCGTGTATATTATATAATTACAAGTTCTATAATTTGTGACGTGTATTACATTAATACAGAGTTCGTGGCCCTACCGACCTTCCCGTGTGATTAGTTAATTTTCTCTGTTAAGGACTTAAATTGATCCCCAGAGGCGTTCGAACGTTTAAGATTATTTTCATATATGTCGTCTGGCAAAAATAAACTAAGTATACAATTACATAACATTTTTTTTAAACTAAATTTTATGAACACTAAAATTTTCAGAACTTTCCCTGAGATGCGTTGAATATTGCCAATTATTTTCCCAAGTAAGGAGAGCCTGAATAGACGAAACATGATCTGATAATAAATTTTCAACGTCTTTCTCGCTTCTCCTCAGTTTACTGTGTAATAAACATTAGAAGTTTTATTGCATTTGATATTAACCCCCACGCATACAAATTATATACATATACATATAATAACGAAATATGAGGACGTTCACCGTGACTTTATAAACTGATACATGAATTACGTATCTACTGAGTACGACGAACGTAAAGTTATTACATAGTCGTTATCACGTTGCGTTTTAAAGCCTCTCCGTATTATGTTATTATTATATTTATATTATATAGAAACTAAATTCATATCACATGCAAGAAAATGGTCAGTATTGTATATAATGCAAATAACTCCAAGATGTAATTAATATATTTCCGTTTTCCACTTCGAATTTCAAAGCTATTATGTAGTCTGAATTATTGTACGGCTTAGAGCTTTTTGTGGTGGATAACAAGGTAGGGACTTAGCTTTCATAGCTGCCTATTGTGCGAGAAGACTTTCTTTAATGACATTACCTGGCGTCGCATTGCGTCAATACGATATTGGCGGACTTTTCAAGCACTTTGATTACAATGACTCTCTCATTGAAGCACAGCCAATAGAAATCAAACCTAATTACAACGTGAAAAGAATTGTAAGGCGTTTATTTCGTGAAAAATTATTACAAGATTGGAAATATTCATCTGTAAATTTATTTCGTTATCACACAGGATTTGAATATAATTAATGGAAATTCTATATTTTTTAATTTAATTTATTTCATTTAATCATTAGATTTATGTCGTTAGAATTCTCAGAGGAAACATGATTCTATCAATTCTCTTGAAACGATCAAAATAGATTGACTTCACAACGGTGAAAGAATTATTACATATCTTATACTAAGGAGGAAAATTAGCCTTAAATGATCGAAATAATTCGCTGTGGCAAATGTCATTTCATAAATAGCCAGATAATTAATAATTAAACAATATAGCTTTTCTAAAACTGGATTCTATTCTGTCGACAATTGATTCCACTTTTAATTGACGAATTCGATAAAAGTTGTTAATTGAATTAAAACTATAATGACAAAATATTTTAAGGAAACTTTCTATCTTTAATGCCAGAAAAGTTAACTAGCACCGGCGAGGTAGCTCGTGTCCAAACTCTGCTTTATCTGCGAACATCCGTTTCATGAAGTACAGTTTTCGCGATACAATAGTGAAACAATAGAAGTAACTCAATACTTGGACTACAAACATGCAATTCATCACTTCGTCACAAGACTTTTATGACGCGGTCACGAAGTAATGTCCCGTCTTGACAACGTGCCGTGGTATCGATTTATCAGTAACCCGCACGCAATGTTGTTAATAGCACAATATCAACCAACTATTACAAAGGCGACTAAAAAATAATTGCCATGTAGTTTTGTTACGTTTGTGAGCCGGAAATACTTTGTTCGTCTATTATTGTTAGCAATAAAGCATTTCATAGAGATTCACTATTGTTTGAGAATATAAAACTACGATGATGTCTGCAAGAAAAGTAGTTATGTACAGATAGAATGATTAAATGAAGAATACATTATACTGAGAGTATATTACAACATTACTTATTATACAATATTATCACGATTTCATATTTCTCTATAAAAAAAGAAAGTTTTAAACACTAGATTTCTAAATTTTAGATATAATCTCTAAATATAATTTTATGATAATTTTTTGTAAATAATCGTTTTTGAATACGTGTTACAAAATTTTCACAAATTACTTATTCTGTCGTATTGTGACGATTTTAGTTTCACGTTATAATAATATATCTATAGAATTATAGCGTAATATACTAGAAACTCACATTGCTGTTAAATTTTCATTTTTTAATTAGTATTAATTGATATTCTTAATTTTCATTTCTCTTTCCATTACTTCTTTAATTCTCTAGGGACGAGTGTCGCAAATTTGCAGCGTTCGCTTCAAAATTAAATTCGAGACAAATTCGGAGTAAATTTAGGATCTGTGCAAATTAATTATATTTAAGAACTGAAGAGAGAAATGTATGTAGCATTTAACACAAATATATAGTACGAGTACTTCTACCCGTCAGTACTTCCACCCGAAAGACCAGAAAATACGTTTATATATGTCGTGTAAATATTGATCGATTCTTTACTTACAACTTATTTTTGTGAACAGTAAAAATTGTTTTTTTTTACGATAAGATGATGTTTTACGGGGTTAAATATGTTTATCTAAATCTTTGCTATTACTTTATCATTAGTAAACAAATTCTCAAAAAATTGTTAACAAAATATATTCGAAACATAGATAAAACAATTCTGCTTAATTAGATTATATAATATATATGCATAAATTAGTATTCTCATTTTAATTTTGAAATAAACAATTTTGTAAATTGTACAAAAATTTAACACCCTTTTTTATATTCTCGGATATCCTCATTATTTGAATTTTTTATTATTTGTAAATTTGTAAAATGGAATCAAAGAGGTGCTACCGCGCGCGTGCGCGCGTGTATTAGATTTCTGTATGTGTATACATTTATATTCTGCCTTTTTTTTATAATAGAAAGTTTATGCAATGCAACCAGCAGGGAATGTCGCCGTTGTTGTCTGGCTCACGCATAGTCATCCGACATTATTACTCTCATTTCCCGCTCGTTATCGTGATGAAAGTGAATTATTTAGCAGCAGCTAATTAATTAGTACCATCGAGAGAACATGGCTGTCTCATCGCAATATAATTTCCCAGGCCAAGTGACCTCGCGCTGGTACGTGGGATAATTACTCACGGATCTGTATTTCCGTCGCGTCTTCGAAACACTTTGCCATTATGATCATGCTAACTTTTTGTTGTCGCGATTATGACAGCCGGTATCGACTGCAATCGGTAGTGGTACCATGGTGGTACCGGAGGTAAAAGGTAGATATCTTTACACGCGGAGTTTGTTTCGCAAAGGAGGTAACACTCCGTAACGTTGAAAGTAACATTCTTTTTACGTTATCTGAAGTTATTGCGAGTTTTGCGAAAATCATTAGTTCAATTAGGCCAGCTAGTCGACCTTCCGTTTATCGATATGCAAAGCAGCGTCACTCGGTATGACACAAAATGAACTTGTTTCGCAAATATATATCACACACATATTACGAAGTTTAAATTCTAGTTAAGGTAATATTTTTACCTGTCTAGTTAAGGTAATATTTTACGGTATAATAAATTTAATAAATTATTTACAGTTTTTAACAGATAACATAACTGCTTAATTATTAGCAGCTGTATTATTATCTACTAAATTGCTCGTTAATTTAATTTGTGATACTACACTATTCCAATTCAATTACGTTTCAAAACTGAAGATTATTTTGTCGTTCAGTCTACAGAACTGAATATGTAAATTCACATCAAACATTATTTAAAATCCAGTTTAGATCGTTGAAGCTCTCGTTACTTAGTCATGTATTCACATTTGCTGTCTTGAGAGAGACACACTCTTTGTTTAATATATATCATTCCCAAAATAATTCCGCAATTGAACTTTTTTTCTTTTTTTATGAAATTATATATCAGTATATCACTGACATTACAATCGATACGATGTAACAACGAATAGCATATAAATGCTATTCTGTATAAATACATAGAATGCAATGCGATAAGAGTATAACGATATGCACGATAGATAGGTTCATCGTCAATTCTTATCTGATTTACTCATACGTAAACATAATGTGTACGCACTAATCGCACGTCATTGTGTTGCCGGTTCTGTTTGTCGGAAAATTATCATAAAACTTGCACATCGAACAGCTTATCGAAACAGAACGTCCTATTTAAAAGTGGCATTCTCTCCGCGATCGATGTGTTATACGAATTAGTCATGTGTTAAATGCTTACCTAAGTGTCGCAAAGTGCTCCGGTTACCCTTTGCTGACGTATGCACTTTTCGCCCGTGCGGTCTTCTCGTATTTCCATTCTCGTAATCGCCACCTTCCAAAAAGATGGGCGCAAAATAATCTGTACGAGAATCATTATTAATACAATAATAGCATTAACATTAATTTTACGTTAATAAAGTTCAAAATGTGTCAAGAGACGTGTAAAATATGAAAATATCACATATTAAATATTATGCATAACATATTAAACGTACAGACATAAATATTAAATATCTAGACATATAAAATATTAAAATATAGTAATATATTATTAAGAGAAATTACGAAAACGTGACTATATAGATATTCATTATGAGCTTTTGACAAATATATATTATCGAAAAAAGCAATCGATTTTTATAACGAGTTTTTTTCATTCGTTTTTCCCAAGTCGTATCGCGAGTTTCATCTTGATACGACTATACGCAATGTGTAGAGAAGAAAAAGTCCTGGCTTCATTCGTGATTCGTAGAATCGTGATAAGCGTGCGTAAAGCTGAAGCGGACGATCGATCTGCCGAAAGAATTCTAGTTGCATCTCTCGGGCAACCTTTTAATATTAACTCTCTCGGGAATTCCCGATGCGATAGGAACTCCACATGCACCATCGAATCCGTAATGAACTCGGCTCATCTTTGTGTTGCAGAGCATTGAAAACCGGCCGCCTTCAGTCATGTGATTCCACGAAGACTCGCACAATTAGTAGAACACGGTTGTAAGTATCTTGTTTTAAGCCTCGAGAACTCCTTATCGTGAGTCCACACGCGGCGGACTGGGTGATGAGCTCGTGGCACAAGTGGAAGACTGCCACCGTTGAAAGATGTTTCGCTCCAAGATTCGCATTCACACGTGTCAAGTGATACTGCTGACGTCATTAGTATGGTTCCTGGTCGATGTCATGGTGCTCATGCTCTATTCGGACTGCATCGGAGGGTCTGGATGGGGCTGCTCGGACAGCAAGCAACAACAGGCGCTCCAATCCGAAGAGCCTCCTCAACTGCTTCCGAAAGCCCAGATCAGAGAGCCGCAGGCAATAATACAGGACTATAATAATAAAAGACAATATCTACAGTCGCAGCTGCACCTGTGGCGGCCAGCGAAAGTCATCAAGGAGAATAAAGGGATGCCCGGCGAGATGGGAGCGGCAGTGGCCATCCCGCCGGAGAACGATGCTAAACAACAGGAACTGTTCAAGCTAAATCAGTTCAATCTGATGGCCAGCGATATGATCTCCTTAAATCGATCCTTAAAAGATATCAGACTCGAAGGTTGTAAGAATAAGAAATACCCCAAGTATCTTCCAGACACGAGTATCGTGATAGTTTTCCATAACGAGGCATGGACTACTCTACTGCGGACAGTCTGGTCCGTGATAAATAGATCTCCTAGATCGTTGCTGAAGGAAATCATCCTCGTGGACGACGCGAGTGAGCGTGGTACGTTCTCATCTAGTTTTCAAATAAGCGTAACAAGTATAACGAGGACCAATATTTTCACCTATTTATAGCGTAGATTGATTTGTAATTCTCCTGCATCACATAGCAGCGAACGCGATTGTATATTTAAACGAAAGAAAATATAAACATTGATCGATTAACAATTGCAAGAATCGTAGCTTGTATCAAAGTGATCGGTAAAATTATTTTATTTTCTAGAGCACCTAAAGCAAGATTTGGAAGACTACGTAACTACGCTACCCGTGCCCACGTATGTCTATCGCACAGAAAAGAGGTCGGGTCTGATAAGAGCGAGGCTGTTAGGGGCAAAGCATGTCAAAGGACAAGTAATCACGTTTCTAGATGCGCACTGCGAGTGCACCGAGGGTTGGCTGGAGCCGCTATTATCAAGAATTGCTAACGACAGGCATACCGTTGTCTGTCCAATCATAGACGTAATCAGCGACGACACCTTCGAATATATCTCGGCCAGTGATATGACCTGGGGAGGTTTCAATTGGAAGTTAAACTTCAGATGGTATTACAGTATTACGACGTTAAATATCATGAATTTTAATAAGATTACCTTCGTATTTTAACCGAAATAGTTAAATGTCTCGCCTTTTAAAAAAGGGACACACACGTAGAAAATTTGAGTTGCAAATGTGGAAATCTACATATTTTGCAAGTCATGAATAGTTAGATTGGCATATATGGTTAAATCCGCTTGAAATATTAAATCTATCGATCTTATATTGACATATATATTTGACATGAATTTATATCTCTATTAAATTATGATAGTTTCATAAATTCAACGATTTTTAAACTACCATATACATAAATTCAATACTTCTCATTCTAATTCAGTTAATCTCTATACATAATGATTTGAAATATAATCAATAATAATCTCTCTCTTTCTCTCCTTCATGTATAATTACGAGCTGTCGAGTTTACAAATTTACGGTTTCCGCAATATTCACCACAAACGTGTATATATACACAGTGTTTATTGTTTAATTAAATTAAATGTATTTATAATTAATTTCGAAATTTCTCGGAAATTGAAACAAAACACGTTGGCAGTCTGTCAAATTATATATTAGTGTATTTTATGCGTCTGTGCACTGAAAAAAAAGATTGGATGAATGTAGCATAGCATTTCTAATTGCAACAGCCAATTGAAAATGCAATACCATATTTTACCATCTAATTTGCTGTCAGTCTTTTCTTTCAGTGTGGTATTTAATTTTTTATCTTTTTAAACAAAATATTAATATTATGATTAATTTCGTTCAAAAAGGTACAGAGTTGCACAGAGAGAAATGGACAGGAGGAATAGCGACAGAACGGCACCGCTACGAACACCGACTATGGCCGGTGGATTGTTTTCTATTGATAAAGAATACTTCTACGAGTTGGGTGCGTACGACGAAGGCATGGACATCTGGGGTGGTGAAAATCTTGAAATGAGCTTCCGGGTAAGCATCCTAAAATATACACTGAAGAAAATTACCAGTTTAATCAATATCCGCAACAATTTTATACAGTATAAGATTATATTCAATAAAAACACATGGTGAATAGATCAATAATTTAAGAAATTATAACAATGAGATTATTTATATTATAAGTATGAAGGAAAGAAGATTGAAACGTTTAAAAAGTGTCATTCTAATATCCTAATTCTATATACTTTATATATTAAAATTACTTTACAGGATTATCAGCATCCTGACTTTGCCTATTATGAAAAACGAATCATTCCTCATATTCATTAATAATAACTCTCGCTTCTATCTTGTATTAAAGATAACTGTGCAATATGTGACAATTAGGATATTTGTCGAAGAGTTTTTTAAAAGGGTTCTTCAAAGGGTATTCTATAAACTTCCATTATTATTTGTGAAGTCATAAGTACCTTGTAGGTATGGCAATGTGGCGGAACATTAGAAATCAGTCCGTGTTCACATGTGGGACATGTATTCCGGGACAAGAGTCCATATACATTCCCTGGTGGTGTCAGCAAGATAGTCCTGCACAATGCGGCTAGGGTAGCCGAGGTCTGGATGGATGAGTGGAGAGATTTTTACTATGCCATGAATCCAGGTTAGATAATTAAGTGCATCATTTAACTAATTTCTCTCCAATGTGTTGTTTTAAATTGCGCTAAATGGTGCCATTATTATGTGCACCTAAATTATATATATATCCTACCTGTATACATAAATTATACATATCCCATAGTATACTATCAGAATTCATATTATCTGTTACAAATTTTTGTTTCTCAAAATTATTCAGTAAGTATACATAAACACATATGTATATATATATATATATATATATATATACTATATATATATCCGATTTAAAAAAGTAATTTAAAAAGTTGTTGAAAAATTCGTTTTCAAAATTTTTGTTAAAAAATTTGAGATGTATTGTTAATTGTTTCAAATTTTCATGTAGCTGATACTCATATAGCGCTTATATCGAAAGCAACGATGTTAATTGATAAAACATTTTTTTGAAATTGCAGTATATTATATTATTCTCTATATAACAATACTATATTATTCAAGCGAAACTCTATATATTAATATATTTGACGGGTATCTGATACAAGCCGTTTATACTACCTCTCACAAAAATTATTATAATTCACATAGCTATATGAATTGCAGTTGTTTTTGAATGCATTATTTTCTTGTTAACAAGTTATTTCTCCATTTGACTAATAATTAATAACAGTCTTGCGTTAATACATTTTCATAAAGTGATGTTTAACACATTAGTTACATATACACGAAAGTATACCATAAATTAGTTAAGTTAATCGTTTGTATGTGTTATGCACATTATGTTTTATGTATTTACTAATATTTTTTACATAATACACATTAGTAGTTGTATACATTATATTTAAACTAAACTGAAATCTCTTATACTACAGAAATTAAATTATCAGAATCTTGCTGCTGTTGAAATACTTCACTTTAGTTTGTTTTTTTTTCGGCCAAACAATAAGTATACTTTAGTACTGATGAATGAAGGGTTATCCACAGACATAAACATGAACACTGAATGAACATTTTAGATATACTTTATTTCTATGTCTCAATAAAAAATGCTGATGTAGCTTAATCACACATATATACACACACACACTTTCTCTCTCTCACACTCATCCATCCAGCCGACTAACCAATTGAAAATTGCGCTTGCTTTTAATGGAATTCTTTCATCAGACTGCATTATAGGTGCCGCAAGAGAAGAATTTCTAAATCCACCATGAATCGCAGAATACGATATCATATTTGCCATGTGTTATTTTATATTCTTTTTCTTTTTGTCTCTTATCGTGTGACTACCGTTCGTAATTGCTAACACACTAACAGAACTGAGTTGGTTAGATATGGATGTGTGGTGGGACATTGGAAATAGCGACATGCTCGCACGTCGGGCATGTATTCCGTAAGTCAACCCCATATACCTTCCCGGGCGGTACGAGCAAGATAGTCAACCACAACAATGCGCGGCTCGCAGAAGTTTGGTTGGACCAATGGAAGTACTTCTATTACAACATTAATCCAGGTAGCACTAACACTGGCGTATCTCGCACAAAAAAAAACAAAAAAAAAGAGAATCCCTATTCCTATACATCTCTTTCTATGTATTGGTTGCTTTGCGATGTAGCATGCTTTGGAAGAGGTCTGTGCATGTCTCTTTATCAATTCTTTTTATTGTTTACGGCTTTGGGTGCTCACTATCTCTATCAGATACCCGTTAACATTTATTTAAAACATCATTGCTATTACGTTCTCTCAACACTGTAATATTGTTATTTAATAATCCATTAGACAACGATGGGTATGATGTACAATAAACGAGAACAGCAATGTAAATAGGATATATAGAAGTATACTTGAAGAGTAAAAAATCACGCATGGCATTAAGGGTTCTATGTGATACTATTATAATCAAAAGGTTATTATTAAAAGAAGATATTCTATTAGAGTGACAGACATATAAATAACAATACGAAACATACATGTATTCGTAGTAATTCCTTAATTAACACAATATATGTATAAAATTATATATACTCAAATATAAAACAATTTTAATATGAAGCACAATACATCTCTGCACGCTACATTTGCAGATGTATAAAAGTTACTGCGTATATGTATATATAAATCAATGCTACTTCATAAACTTCTTTACATCTTTCAGATTTCCAAAAAGATGCGTTGCATAATTGCACGCTTATTTTTTTAGGAGCAAGCATATGACATTTAATGTATCATACAATATATTCTATGGTCGCAAATTTCTTTATTTTTAGCACTAAATTCTCTAATAAATCTTCTTTTCAACCAATTTATATGCAAGCACAATATGTAAAAAAAAAAAATACGTGTGAATAAGTTCAGCATTTGTAAAACGTTGTAGCGTTACAGAAAATCAATTCTTTTAGGAGCGCGAAACGTCGATGTCGGTGATGTTTCCGAGCGGATAAAACTCAGAGAACGATTGAAATGTAAAAGCTTCAGATGGTACTTGGAGAATATATATCCAGAATCACCGATGCCGCTAGATTATTACTATCTCGGTGATGTGAAAAATATTGAAACGCAAACTTGTTTGGATACTATGGGCAGAAGAACCGGAGAAAACGTCGGAATTAGTTATTGTCACGGATTAGGTGGCAATCAGGTTTGTGTTCATTTTAAATGTGAAGTAATTCATATATGATGAAAATTAAGAGATATTGTTTCTGTTTTGAGCGTACGCTATTTCTGATGAAAGTTGCATTATTCAGGTATTTGCTTACACTAAGCGACAACAGATAATGTCTGACGATATGTGCCTTGATGCAGCTAATCCACAAGGTCCAGTAAAGATCGTACGATGTCATGGCATGGGTGGTAATCAAGCATGGGTTTACAGTGATGAGGTAAAAAAAGATAAAAATATAAAGAAAAATATACTTATAATACAGTAAAACAAATATTAAAAAAAAAAGATAAAATTATGATACATGGTTTTGATAAATGCAATTAATATTTAATATATATAATTCTTTTTAGACCAAAATGATTAAGCACACAAACACGGGTTACTGTTTATCAAAACCCCACTCAGGCGATGCAGCACAACCTGTCTTGGCGCAGTGCGATGTCAACAACATCGGTCAAAGATGGATTATGCGTAGCAAATTTAAGTGGCAGGCCAGCTAATACGAATCAACTTTAAATGCCAGATCTATATGCAATACTTGTTAATATGTTTAATAAATGGTAACCGATGGACTGATCGCATAGGATCTTCCCAAGAGTGTGTGTACGAGAAAAGAGAATGAAGTATTATAACCAGTGGCGAAGAAACGATTCAATATTACATCTAATGTGTACGTCAAATAAATTGATAGTGCGCGAGGAATCGATTCTCGTCAGAATCACATCAGAAATTGTAGTTAAAAATAATTAGATTCTACAAGATTTATTTATCATTGATGAAGCAGTATCGAGAATTTACTGCCATTCTTTGTGGTACGGTCCTTACGATACGCCTTGCAATGCACAATAGTGACAGAGATGAATTTTTCTGATCGCGTGTGAACATAAGTGATACTAAATGACGAACAAAGTGAACTCTTTTTTTTTCTTCTTTCCTGGCTAAGAAGCAGTAAAGAAGAAATCATATCAGACCACTGTTATAAATATAATTGTTAATAAGAGAAAGAGACATATTTGATAATTTCGGATGAATGCAATAACGAATGACTGACCGTTAAATCGGTACGCAACGAAATGAAATGTGAATATGCTAAAAATGTATTGCGAAATAATGACGGAGTGAATGCTAGAATGTTAGTGAAGTTGATGTGACAGTACCGATAATGATATAGAAAAATTATTATTGTACAATCCATTTAATAATTAGGGAAGAGCACTGAATCTTTTTATATTCATGTTTCTGATAGTTCCTTGTTGCATCTCGTTCGAATAATTTAACTGTTACGCATTGTTTTGTGTAAAGGATGTACTTATCAGAATTTATATTGTAGAATTCATCAGGTTTTAGTTAGATGCATACAATTATTGACTCTCGTTAAATTTTATTGCGGAGACATAATGCAGTTTCAATGCAAACGTACCAGAGTGTCTTCCATATTTTAATAATAGCAGATTTTTCTGACATAATCAGCTATTGCGCACTTTTACAAGTTACTTATTAACTCTGTACCTTCCTAAACATGTTTAATTTGCGAATTAACATGCGACAAAATATTATACCATAAAATCATTTCAAGCAAAATAATTCTTGAGCATTATGCATTTAAAATGCACTTACAAATTAAGTAACAACTAAAATGTAACAGTAATTGCAGAGAAAAATTATGATCGTTCATATAGAAATGAACAAAATCATCTTTATTTTTTTTATCCTAGTACCTTTCTCTTCAACATCATAAATTGCAAAAGAATATTTTTAAACTTCAAACAATTATAAAAATAATATTTTTTATTTAATACATTCTCAAATCTGCTATTGAAAACAAAAAAAATTTGTAAATTTACACTCTTGCGAATAACTTCCGACACAGCTTTAAGATCTTCCCTATCTGCTATTGAATGACGAATATACTCATTATTTTTATGTAATTCAAAAGAACGTTATGGTGATGGTGCAACATTAATAGCTTGACATACATTTGTCTTCTTAAGACTGTGGTATTTATTTTTGTATAGAATACAAATTGATTTATATGTTGAAATACGCAGTGTCAGTCCACTTTATAGATAAATGATAAAGTGTTCGATCGCGATCGAAAAATGATATAGTCAATAGTACCTCTTTGCAAATACGTCATTCCTTACAGGCTGATTTCATGGAGAATGCTATTATTAATATGAATAAAATTGCTAATGAACGATTTTCGTTTTAATCATTTGCTCAATAAATAATATCTCTTGCTTCACGGTTCAATCGATTATGATGATATGAAAGAACAGTTTCGATTGTTATAATAGCCTGAACTGCGTAAGCATAATCTTTTAAAGACAATAAAATTATTTGTATACATTAAGTTTGTATAATGCATGTCTCTATAATACTACTATAATAATTTTTAAACATTTCTAAAATAAGTAAAGTAATTTGTAAAAATGAATGTATGCACATTAACGACATTTAAACCTGACTTTTGTTTCTCCTTTCAGAATCAAGTGTGACTAAAAAATGAAAAGCCTTTTAAAAAATAATTTATTTATAGTTGTTAAAATTGTACCATATAAGTATTCTATAGAATATTATATAAAATAGCTACGATCATACACAATTATCTTGTTAGAATAAATAAGTTTCGTTACACATGTGAAATGTTGATATCATCATTTTAATACTTATTAATTTCTGATTAACAAATTTAATAAAGAGCACTACATTTTTTACCAAATCCCACCTCAATTTGCGATTGTGGGAGAGTCTAGGTTAACAGAGGTTAATAAATACAAATGTTTATGATTGTTTAATATTTGTTAATATTTATAAAATAACTGTTTTAATAGTCTTAAATAATTTGCATTTTATCAATAAAAGATAAAAGTTAAATTATGAATAATGTTGAAACATACCTAGATAATGAGTTTTACAAACATGTAAACTATTTAATAAAATCAATATCATTTTAATAAAATACAATTATAAATATGTGTCGTGCGATGGTGGGGGTACCAACCAACTTGTTTTAATACAAAACAAGTTTTAGTTGATACATATATATTGAATCTAAGCATGTGTCATGACACATTGGTTGGTTTGTATTAAATAAAATTACAAGTATAAGTTAAAAAGATATTTATTACATACATTTACTGTTCTTTAACTTCACGTAATCTACGTACAGCTGATCTTACTGAAGCAGCGGCTGTCGTAGAATATACCCACGCACCACCAGCAACAGTCCTTTTGCATCGTTTGCAGGACCAGATTCCTACGACACTACGCTTCATGGCCTCCTGTTAGAAAATAAAAATAGTATCATAACACAGTTGAAAGCCTCTCGAACAAACTGTATTAAATTATGAAATAATGTTTGTATAAAAGATTAAAAAATAATAGAACGTGTCTATGATAAAAAGAATTTATCACATCACAATCTTAATTTTAAAAAGAATACTAAATACATTTTGAGAATTTATCTTTCCAATTCATAATATAAAGTACAATTACTTACCTTACCACAAAACGAGCAAGTATACTTGCTGTGTTGGGTAATTTCCATTTTCTTAACCATTTTCCTAAGAGAAGCACCGTAACGGGTGCCATATTTTCCGGTGATTCCTACCTTCTTTGTACGTTTCGCCTGTAAAAATTCAGGTAGTTTTAGGACCTCTGCATTTACAGGTAACTTCGATGATATTAAAGATCAGAAATATACAATCGAATAAGAAGAATTGCGATCAAAACATAACCTTGTTATAAGGTTAATGAGTCCTCACAGTATGCAGTTAGCATTTTACGGTAAAATGTATACATAAAAAATATTTTGATAGCTATTGCTCTTATTTGGTGATCAACATCACGTAGATTTCAGTAAGATTTGATATGGAAAATTCGATAAAATATCTTACCATTTTTAACAAGTGGAGATCGCTCTTGCACGCTTTTGTAAAGAACTGGAAGGAATAAGGAAAGAACTCAAGTACAGTAACCTCACACAACAGCACACAGGCAGCACAGTGACAACGTCGGAACTCGGAAGTTAACAGCGTAAATATGGATGTACGTTAATTTCAAATTTTCGCGGGAAAAACTTGTTCAAAATTAATGACAAGTTTTTCCATTATTATGAACACTGTTATATCGCGAATGACAATATATTATTTTTCTTCTGAAGAAAATATCAGGTATAGATATTTCAGTCATTAAAAATATTACAAAAGATACATCCTGCAAGAAAATATTAAATAATACAATTATTATAATAAAAAATTATTCTGTAGTGTGACATAAAAAGATATTTATATAATTTAACAAAATTTCAACAGAGGTGTTTTTAGTACATATTTTTAATATATTATATTATCTACACACATTTTTAAGAAATCAAGTATAATAATTTTTTAATTTAATGTAAAGAAAAAGATAGATCGCATATACTTGAGATATATTAGATGGATTAATATGATTATGGATCCATGTTTACGCGATATATGGGTGAAATACAAAGACCTCGCTAATTCAATTTTATTCAAATCGGTGACCAACCACAGCTTAACAACTACTATAGTTACCTAACACAGGAACGTACCTACACAAATTGCAAACGCATATATTTTTAAATACTAAAGAGTTTTCGTGTATCGAATTTTAAATGTAAGTACATATAGAAGTATATTGTGAATAATTACAAGTAGAACCTTAATTTCTCCAAGAGCTTCATATTTATCATTCAAAAGCAGCTTTAACTGAAAAATTCAACATTCGAAAAAATACTTTATTTAACATTTAAATTTCTTTGCAACGATGAGTCAATTAACAATACTATGAGTTACATAATTGGATTACTATAGTCAAACACTCGCGATTCATGCCGTGCCCGATGCATATCCAAACAAATGTCATCACCAATGTTTTTTAACAAATTTCCAAAAATACGCGTTGATTATGTAACGTCATCGTAACGCGTTACATAATCGCGAGGGTGGCTGACGAATGGGAAGATTCGACGTTTCGATTTTTTTTCTATAAACGATACACGCGGCATAGACAGCGGAAAAGTTATACCAGCCATACAATTAATTTTAAGAGTACATACAAAGACTCTTTTTAAAGTCACATATAATTAAAATTTGACATTTATAAAATGATATATACGTATATTAATAAGAACAATTATAACGTATAAAAATTGTTTTAGAAATTTCATTTTATTAAATATCTACACACATTTCTAACGCGAAAAAAATTATACCCCCTCCTCCCGCCGCGGATTATCATCTCTCTTTAAAAAGTGTATGTATGTACATACATATGCATTCTTTTTTTGTGACAGGTAATTCTAAGCGGGGAAATCATTTGTCCATCCCTGGGAAGGGAGAGAGAGGGAGAGAGAGAGAGAGAGAGGAACTGGCCCGTATGACGTAGGCCTGGCCAAGCTGCAGTCCGGCTCCGTTTCTCTCGAGATCGGTGCGTCACGCGTGTCGACGTGCGAGCGGCTAATAGCGGAATCCACCGCCGCCACGAGCGACCGGTTGGTGGTCGGCTCTGTCCCGTTGCCCCTCCCCGCGGTCTATCGCACGTAGTGTCGTCCAGGTCCGGCGCGCCGCCTAATCGGAGCGTAGCGTAGCGTGGCGTAGCACAGCGCGGCGCAGTGCAGCGAGGGGAACGCGCGTCGTCGAGTCTAGGGAGCACAGCCGGTGGTGGTCGCACAGCCAGCGCGATGGTCGTCAAGATCTACGTATCGGGTATCAGCGGCAACAAGGAAGTGAGTGCTTATGGCTTTCAGCGATGAGAGCTCCGGTGTCGCGATACTCAACCGCGGAGTCTGGTCAGGCAATCGTCGTTGTCACCGTCGTCGCTGTATCAGGTTACAATGCGAACGGCACTGGGGCGGTTAATAATCGCGGACTGTCATTTGCGATATGACGCGCGCGTACTGCGCGTTTTTTTTTTTTTTTTATCGGTTTCGTCGTTTTCTCTGACGGTAGACGTACGGTGGGGTGTCACGTCAGTTTTCCAGCTGTTTATTCACGAGTCTCATCCGGTTCTGTTTATTTGATCAAGAGCGATTGTCGAATTTGTCAAGTATAATTTAACTTGATTACTTGATAGTTCCATTATTTAGGTTCCATAAGACAAACCTGTATTTTTGTGTATTTGTATCTTTTGATCTTCTTTGTTCAATATGCTGCAAATATTTCTTTTGACAATATTAATAGTATTAATATAGGAAATTGTTTATTAACATTTTACCGCAATGAATATTATAAATTTTATTATTAGGAATAAAAATGTATAAAAATGATGATTGCATTTGGCAGATTTTATTGCATATGGATTTTTCTAACAGTTGCATATAACTGTATATGTAAACTAGTAGAAATTAAACTTGATTCTATAACATATAAATGTTACAAAAATTATAAAATTTATATTTAATATTAATATCTACTTTTTTAAATATTTGTTATCTACGAATCTCTCTTAATAAGAGATTATAACATTCAAGTAATGGTACATATTAATCTTAGCTATACACACCTTAGCTATATACACTAAGAAACTCCAGTGCAATATGCTAAAAATCCTATTGATTTTTACATATTATGGACTTGTTCCTTAATCAATTCTCCATCAATTGAAAAAAAAATTAAAATATGTCCATTTTTACAGAAATTACAGTAACAAGTATGGATGGGATCCTAGGGATCCAAATGTGCATATTAAGGTTACAAAAAAAATAGTGTGTATAGCTAAGGTTAATCAAATTTGAAGAGTTTGACAAATTTTAAGTATATGTAAACATGTTACAGGTGAAGAAAAGACAGCAACGTGTATTGATGATTTTAGATAGTAAAAATGTAGAATATGAGATCATCGATATAACTGAGCCAGACAAGGAATTGGAAAAAGAATTTATGCAGGCTAACAGTAATGCTAGAAATAACAAGTATCCATTGCCACCACAGATATTTAATGAGGATGATTATTGTGGCGTAATTATCTTTTCTTTGCACCATTTATATTACTATTATTTTCAATAGATATTGAATGTACTAAGTTTAAAAATATATTGTATGTACACGTATTTAACAAACAATAGAAAATAACTACTGAAAAGGTATTACATCATTTTTTATAAATAATAAAAGCGATTAAATTTTGCAGGATTATGAAGATTTTGATTTAGCAAATGAAATGGATGAATTGGAAAAGTTTTTGAAAGTAACGCCGGCGATTAGTACTGCAGAAATCACTCTAGATTCAAAATCTCAGAGTGATGGAATTCAAGAGAATGGAAATACTTCAAGTCGAGAGGTAAAGCTATGTTTCCACTGAAGGAATAGAAATTTTTGTCGATGTTTCATGTATTTTGAAATAGTTGCCAGTTGCCGAAAATTTTTGATATTCCTTAATGTTTTTGTTATTAGCGACAAAAGTTGTTGCTTATCATGTGTTTCAAATCGAAGCAGTAAATATCAGAGGAAGATGAGAAATATATGTCAACAGAAATAGAAGTTCCTGCAGTAGGACATTTCATTGCCAGTATGAAAGATGAAAAATTTGACTTGCCAATTTACAGGGAACAAAAAAAATATTTTCTCTAAAAAAATCAGACTTGATTGTACCCACACTTTTCGTTTTTCTTTTTCTTACTGTTAAGCATGAGATATATTGCAGCTACAAGAAATAAATCTTGAGCTGTTATTCACATCACATCATATATAATAAACTGCTTTTTGTTTCTTAAGTGTGAATAATTAGTTGCTAGAAATGAATAAGACTGAAAAAGAAACACAAAATTCAAATGTTTCTTTGATTATGTCACTTCAATGAAGACAAGATGTTTCAATGAGTGGACATGTTGGATAATTCAGAAACATTTAGCAACAGCAAATAATAAAAAGTGTTTTGTTGTTGCTTTAGTGGGGACGTAGCTTAACATTGTTTCTTTATTTCGAAACCTAAAAAAAGCTTTGTTACAAGCTGCTAAATTATATATTTATATGTATATATATATATACTGCTTCTCTATGAGAAAGAATTCCGACGCGCCAAAATAGAAATTGCTATAGTCATGTTTATTGTGTGGCACGTGTATAACATATGACAAATTGTTTTTATATTTATTTATTTGTTTATAGATTTTTTTCAAAGAAATTAACATATATAATGATATAAATTAATAATTTATATATTTCGTTATTTTATCGTATAACAAGCCTTATCTATAAATAAAATTCTTTCAATTTTTACTTATTTTTGTTTACCAGTCTGATAATTTTTTTACTAAATTTATATTGTGGTTTGTATACATTTTTTATTTATCTAACATTTGCAATCTATTTCTTTCAGCCTTCCGCAGACAAAGAAGCAGATGTACTACTTTCCGACAGGTAATTATTATAGTAAATGGCTTAAAATGAAAATATATTAAAAATATGAATTATACTTCGATTAAAAATGTTGAATAATTAGTTTATAATTATGCTTCAGTTTACCAGAAAGGACAACTTTAGAAAGTGAGACTAAAGCTTTAGAAGATTCTAAACCAACCGAACTAGATAGCGCGGCTAAAGTTATCGCTAGCGATGAAGGTGAACACGCTGAAGATAGTGGTGATAAAAATGAAGAGAAGTCCGACGACCAAGAGAAAGAGGAATAGATACGAGATATACCCATGTAAAGTTGGGATATTCCACACAAATGACATCCTTCCTTTTCCACCCACAAACGTATTTTGCAAAGCTACGTTTATTACATTACTAAGGCTGAATGAAGGTACTGCCAAGATAATATTCTGCATTGCAGAAAGTCTGTTGATCAGTATGACGCATGGAACATTCTTTTATAGAATATACTTTGTATTTTTAGATCAAACGCGTCTTCACCAAATGTTTTGCAACAGGTCTGATTAGGTGATATGAGACAATTCCTTCATATCGCTATCTTTATATATTTACATCCTCACGTTTGTTTATTATTTTTGCATTGTTTCACACTGCACCATACCTGATATATTATAGCACATTCGAACTGAAGTATATATACATATATATATTCTTTTACATGTGCTTTCTCGTTATTTTGTTGCCGCGCGTAAAGCGTACAAAAGTTAATATAGGATATAGCAATACATACATATACACAATATCATTTGAGATATATGAGGACAGATATATAGATAAATATGTATTATAATTAAATTTTTTAATTTTTAGATATAATTAATTTGTTATATACGTGAAAAAAAATTTTGATATTTGTATTATACTTTTAATTAAACACAGCAGTATTAAAGATAGATTTGGCTTGTAATAAAAATTTTTATTTTAACATTTTATTTTTTTGCGTTAAGATAATCAGTCTTTCCAAATATGCTTTAAGAAGTCATTGATTTCTTGAACTTTTAATTATATATTAAATATGTTAGAAATAGTATTAGAAAAAAACAGAACAAAAGAAGAGATTTATAGATTTTTATAACTGAATTATAAATATTTTTTTTATGGTATGAAATCTTCCATTTTCTACTCATAGCAAAATTATGCTGATGTGTATGAATCATACTGGCATGACATGATTTCATTGATATGTGTGTATATGACTCATGCTTATTCAACAGTCTATTCGATCATTAAAATTTTTGCATCTAAAAAATCGGACGATTAAATTCTTTAAAAGTTCTATTTTTGAAAACAGAAAAATTGGTTTATAATGCTTGTAAATTATATTGTAGTAATATAAATTTTTAAAGCAAAAGTGAGAGATTTTTTACAACTGCTACTATCGAAACAATACAATGAATATTTTAATGTAATATCAAAAAATAACATATACATGAAAAATTTTTATAACTAGCACAAAATGTGCAATGAATTTTAAAAAATTTTGTATTAAATCTGATATTATTCAAATTTATATATTCTAAATAGTTATACTTGATAAATAGTGGCAGTTGTATCGGTGAAAAGGCCTATATGATATATTATTGTTTCTCTTATTATTTTTAATCATGACATTTTCTTCCTATGTGTGTGCTCAGCAAGATTAATATCTTGCATAAATCTTTTACTGCTTGTCCATCGTTCAAACAATACTTCCGCCATAAAAAAATTAAGCTTTATCCAATATTTGCTACAAGTTGCTTTGTTATAAATAAATAAATAAAATAAAAAATTATTTTTGTGCTATTATAATTCTATTCTTCAACATAATACATTAAATTTGTTATTAATGTCGCACATATAATATGTATAATTTATTGCTACAATCAAAGAAAATTATGACAAAGTTTTATTCATGTTAACATGTCTTTCTTATTACAAGGATGAGGAGGAGAAGGAGGAGAAAATGGTAACAATAAAGATTGAATATTAATGTTAAAATAAATTTTAACATACTATATATTAAAGATATAATTATTAAAATTAAATATAATCATATTTACAAAAATAATATTAATTATACATATATATATACACACATACAATATGTGTATATATATGTATATGTGTATATACATATACATATATAGATCAATAGCGATCATTGTTACATACATACAAGAATTTACTAATAAATACAATGATTCAAGTTTAAGATTCTGTTTATATATATCCTTTAAAAAAATTGTTTCAAACATTTTTCATTAAACAATAAATATTTATAACATAACAATGTATATTTTGGGGAATTGATATATTATATAATTCTATTATTAAAGAAGGTAAGTACATATGTATATACAATATATAAATATATGGATATAATTCTATGATAAAAAGTTTAAAGCACAGCATATTATGCTGATCTCTCTTTCAAAAGCGATATAAAAACTAACTATGCGTAAAATATACTTCTTGATATATACAATATCTAAAAATATTCTTTACCCTTTCTCAAATTAAAAATAATGCATTATCTGATTGATCTACGCAAGTTATAACGTTTACTGTAATATAGATAATTAAACTTGCTATTTCATATATAGGTTCAATTGAGATCTCTAACGATACTATATCCTCAATTATCTTTCTCTTGTATATTTGATGTCTCCATTACAACACGAGTACAGCCTGAAACCAATAATTATCAATATTTTTATAATACACGTTTGTGGAATAAGTATATATAAAAGTATTTTCAATTATATCTAAAAAAATTTATAAAGAAATATCAAAACGTAATATTTGTTAAAAATTTTTAAATTACATTTTTATCAATCGTATAGTACGTAAAGTATATTTATGTTATTTTCACAGTAACATTAATTATACATATATTGAAATTGTAATAAGTAAAAACAAAATATATAAAGATATTTCAAATTAAAATTTTTTTTACAAATACATTTTTTTAAGCAATCTAAAGTTGCTGTTTCCCCTTTAGCGAAAAATTTCATTACTAATAATAAATGTGATACAAATTTTTGTATTATAATTAGAAAATTTAGAGAATATAAGTGAAGCAAATAAATTTAATAAATTACAAAATTAGTATTTATTAGTTAAATATATTAATGAAGAATTATTATGATGAATTAATACAATAAATAATAATGTTATATTATAATGATGATAATATTTAAACTTTCAAATATATATTAAAATATTAAAAAATACATAAAAATAAAACGTAGTCCAGTTTCAAAGTTACATTTATTTTACTAATGCTATTTGTCGTATTATTTAATTAATAATCATTGTGCACACATGTATTTATCAATATTACGCATACAATTTGCATTAAACAAACTTGTTGCTGATGCAAAGATGTTAAACAATTGTCAATGTAAATAAATCTATAAACAATCATATATATTTATATATATGTATATAAACTATAAACATCTTGTGTCCAATAACAGGAATTTACATCATATAAATTATTGGTCTTACTGGTATTGCTGTAATTATTTAATGCAGCTTTTTCATAGGCACGTTATATAAGGCAAATAGTTTAATAAAAATGCTTAAAATCAAGATTTTAAGAACAAATTTAAGAAGCATTTTTTATCTTGATTTTCTTTAAAATGTTGATTTTAAAATGTTATATCTTTTTAGTAGTTTAATCAAATAAATAACAATTACCTATATATATATTTTGGAAAATTACACAAAATATTGTTTTTATACTTCTATTTAAAACTTGCTACATGTAAAAGCTGCATAGCTCATTCAATGAGCATATAGGTAAACATATCTTTACTGAAAGCAAAGATTTATACAGTAATACATGGATACTTCTTTCTAATATTCAATTAGTTAAATTGTATTTTGACTTTATGTATCAAGTGTATATGTTGTACATAAAATAATTCCCAATGTATACCCCTGTTGTACATATACCATTCTTTGCTCTTAACTGACATTAACGAATAATTGTCTTATCTTTTTGAATGGATCAATATATTTGTACACTATTAAGTAGGTAAATAAATTATGCAGTGCATTGTAACATTTAATTTTTTTATATTAAGTAAAATATATGATATATATTTCGTCTGTAAACTTATTGTGTACAAAGTTTAAACCTATTTCGACTAAAACGTATTAAGTATACGTATAACACGTATATAATTGTATTAACACATTGTATAAACACAACACAATATTCTATTAAAATTACGTATAAAATGCAACATTCAAAAATGAATAAAAATTACCATATGATCAAGTAATTAAACGTTTTGAGTTATAAGTTTCTTCAAAAGATCTATTCTTTACTCCTGTACTATCTGAACTGGTGTACATGATGCAATAAGTTAAAGTGAAACAAATATATATGTTTATTTCCCTCCAACTTATTGCACAGTTAAGTATCATATCTTTTTTCCATAAATTTGAACACATGCATAAGTATAATTGTAAAATTATGGCAATATTATATGTTTAAGACTATTATACATTCTAATAGAACAAATTATGCTTAGTAGTTTATTTATATTATGCAATATAAATAGAGCGATTTCTCATATATCTGTACACAAACTATATGTAACAAAAATAATTATGTATAATGTATTATTTTTACGTTCGTATAACATATAATGAGGTATTCTTTCTTTTCGACAATGCTTAAGTTAAATTATTGAATAATTTGATATTATTTTTAACTTAACTACATACTGTAAATGAATACTTCATTATGCATATACTGTTGAGAGAAAGTTATGTTTTATATTAAGATTCATCAATGTATATTAATCTTAATTCATACAAAATTTATATGTTCCAGAATAATCGCATACAGATATAATATAATGATATATTTATAAACCAGATTTAAGTAAAAAAATAAAAGTATATTTCAATTTTAAAATAATTATTTTAATTAACATAAATAATTACTTATAATTCCTTATAATTTCTGTTGTTTATAATATTATATAACATATAAATATATTATATATATATTATATTCTGTATGTGTACACAGAAAACCTGACATTACTAAACTTTAGTAAATTTAGAAATTTAATGTCAGTTAAGAGATTTTTATCTTTTTTAATTCAGTTTTTTCTTAAATAAGAAAATAAAGTAACTTTGGAAACAATTGTTTGTAATGTCAAGCTCTTAATTATTTGTCTATCAAATTGTTTGCTTTTCTCTGGGACGGTGATCTTATAAATCTGTATTTAAGAGATGTGTGTTACGTATGTAATATGTAATACCTGAATTGGTAATTTCGCATATGATGATATACTTTTACCACTTAGCTTATCTTAATAAGACAAGATATTTTATGTAAATACTCGATATTAAGTATACCATACATAAAACTGATAATGCAGCATCTATTACAAACATAAGAGAATTAAAAATTTTGTTGAAAAATTGTTCTTATCTAATCTCTAAAACTTGTTAAAAGAGATGTCCATTGTAAAAATATCAATTATTTCATCAGTATTCCAAGTAACGATTCCAAGTACATTTGAAACAAATATATTACTTACAGTCTTATTATACATAGAGAAAATCAAAAGAATGTTTATAGCTAGTAGATTTAAACTTCAAAATAAGATATTTTTATAATTTAAAGTTATGAAAGAATTCATAATTATTTATTTATATCTTTCGATATACTTATGTTATATGATAAATGTTTTTATAACGTATTTATAAATCATTAAATTATCAAATATGCATCATTGATATATAGTATAATCTCTCTGTCATATAGATTAACTTATTTTAAATTATCAAAAAATAATGAAAAATAAAAAATTTAACTTTTTAATACAAAATAAATAGAGAATAAAAAATAAATAAAGTTATTTATATATTTTTTAAAATATTTGAAAAATTAAGTAAAATATAAATATCATATTTTAATATCTAAATGTGTAGTACGAATAAAATAAATCGAAAATTAAATACTTAAAATATATAGAGAATGTAGAAACAAACGTTCAACATTACATTTATTATTCACTGTTATAGACCACTATTAAATGTCATAAAAAATAATTTTAATTATTAATTAGCTTAATATTTATCTTTAGCATGTAATCATTCTTAATTGATTTTCTCTCGGCTTAATTATGCATTATGTTTGTGTCTTGGTATATTATACAGTAATGAAATATAATTAATCCGTACCAAAGTATTTTTGTCCAAAATGATTTGGTGCAACAGTATGGATCTCTGACGTTAAGATCTTCATCTATAAAAAAAAAACAAAATTTTATTTAAAAAATAAATATATATATTATACATTATCAGATGAATATAATTTAATAAATTTTTACTGATTTATACAAATGTAAATATAAATAGAAATTACCTTAGGAAAGGCAGTGACTAGAGATTTGGCTGCAATCGGTGTACAAAACAAATTTGACAGGATAATATTTTCTTCAAGTACATTATGTTCTTTTAGAACAGCTATGGCTTTTATGACAGTATTTCCTGTACCTATACATATATAATAAATATAAAATTTATTACAAATATTTTTCAACTTAATACCAATACACTCTGAAAATTATGATATTCTCCAATACTTACTCATTATTGGATACATCAACAAGACTTTTCTCTCAGATATATCATCAGGGAATTTAGCATAAACTACTCTAGCTTCGTGTGTATCCATATCACTTTCTACTAATATCTTACCAATTCTGATACTACGACAACAGTCTCTTAAACCCTAAAAGATATCATTTCATGAGTTAGCAACTAGTTTGCATAAAATATCATCTTAGCACATTTAGGATTAATTGAAGTTATACCTGTTCCATAGCTTCTCCACTTCTTACTATAGATACACCACAATTTCCCTTCTGATATTTTAAACCTTTGTATTTGGCACCAGTTGGAGTTGTCACCACACATTTCGTAAAAGGCAATTGATTCAAACTCTCTTCAATAACTAATCTGATCTAAAATATTTCAGCAAAAATTATAACTACTTCATTTTTTCATATAATAAACGAAAACTATAAAGTAGCTTTTAACAATCACAATATATATATTTCAACATCTATATTAAACAATATTAAATCTTATTTGGAGAGTTTCAAACTAAATACCGATGAGAATAAGCTATTTAAGCTGGATCTTGGATGCTTCTAATATAATTTTCGTGTGAATTTATATACTATCATTATAAACATGGAAATGGCATTGTAAGAGTCAAACGAAAAGTAAATTAACAAACAATTAATACATATATTCTAAAATGAACTTATAAAATTTACATAAATGTAACGATTAAAAAACAGATGTTAATTACATTACTAGTTTCGACCACCAAATCTGGTCCTCTTCAGATGAAACACTTAACGTTGAAATGTACATAATTATGGAAAAACATCAATACATAAGAAAATCTTGTGCGTAGTTAAATATATAACAAAAAATTTACAAATCTATACGTGAGAATATTAGTTGGTCCGTGAATCCATATATTTACAAAAATAGTCATAATGATAAATGTCACACAATAAGAAAACAGTAAAAAAAAATTTTTTTCCTTTAAAAAAACTTATGTCAGAAATATTACAAAACTATCGAAGTACATCTTGAGATAAAAAGTTATACATGGAACACGTCAAACATCCTCAACGGACCAATTCCGACT